GAAGCTGAAGTAGAAATATTAACAGATAAGGTCAATTATTGATAAACATGTTAAATATTAAATATAAAACATTAATATGTATATGAATTTTTTTTTTCCAAAGAAGCTAGAACAAGCTGATAATTTAAATAATGATCTATTTCAAGATTTTAATCATAGACTATTGATTGATACTGTGGAAGAATACCCAATAAATGATGAAATTTTAGAGAAAGAATCTTCAGAATTTGAAGGTTTCGATAAAGAGTATAGACCATACTTTTCAAATTTTACAGTAGCGATACTATATGTGTGGATTACAAAGCATATGATTTGTAAGTGTATAAATTCAAAAAAGAAAATTTTAATAATAAAAATGATCAGTAATTATTAAAATTTTCCTTTTTTGAATTGATTCATTTTTGTAATTATATGCCCTTATGGTTAGAGTGTCTAGGGTACTGCAGTAGCAGAATCTGCACAGAATAAAAATCATTGGTAAATATAATCTATTGTCAAATTAGAATTTTCTTTTTGTTGTAATATTGAATTTTAAAGTATTATTTATATGTCATCACAGAATTTGCTAATTTAATGATAATTGCAAAAAATTTTTAGTTAGAGCAGCAGTATCCTGAATACTCTACTTATGGTATATATATATTAATATATTGTCATTATGTTTAGTGACCAGTACATATGAGAATCTTTTTAGAATCCTTAAACATCCCAACTTTCACAAAGAAGATGTCATTACAAACATTTGACGTTTCCGTAAATAGAGATATAAACTACCTTTTCTTCAAGTAAGGTAGCATGATGTATCAATTTATGAACAAAAAGTGCTATCCACACTTTTATCTACTAAAAAAGCATTTGTTATATCACCTTTGGCGTATTTGGAACATGTACTAAATAATTCGACACTTATGTTTAAAATATACTTTGAACCCGGTATGGTTAAAAAAAAAAAGATTGAATTTTGGCACAGAGATCTCTGACAAGATTCTCCACTTTTTGGAGAACATGAAATAAAATGTAATGATGGAGATTAGTAATATTATTTAAAAAGTTTTTTTAAGATTTAAGTTATAAACATCTTAATTGATCCCTTTAACCCATTATTATTAACCTGCTAAAAAAATTTTACAATCTATATAATAAACAAGTACATGATTACTGTAAATAAAATTTAGTAGACCATACATATTTTGCTACCAAGTATTGCCATAAAAGGCTTTTTCTTATTTTAATTTTTTTTGATAACTTGCCGTTTCCATATCAAATAGTTAGCTTATAACAGATATTACCACATTACAGGATTAATAACATTATATCAATGCTTTTTTTAGCGGGTTAATAGCAATAGATTAAAGGGTGTAGTATCTAAGTTTATATACTAACTCTAAAGTTTCTACTATTTCTTAATAAACAAAATTGTATATTATATTTGAATAATTATATATAATTAGAAACTTATCGTTTTGGGGACTTTCTTTTATATAAAAATTAATCTACAAGATTTATATGCCGCGTATACAGCATTATAATTAATGAAGTAGATAGAGTTCATAAATTAAAAGTTGACCGGCTTTTGCAAAATAAAAATATTTTCAATCACCGTTCTAATAGCATTTAGCATAGTCATAGAAATAATAAAGAGTTGTAGCTGGTTGAAAATGATCCTATATTTATTGACCCAGTAGATATTAGCTAATATGTTATTGTGTGGCTCTGTGATCTGCCAGAGCTTGAGCATTACGAATTTTATATTTAGGAAGTTGTATACTATTTTGGTGGCTGCTGGAGATATCAGAATATTTCTAAAAGGTATTAATTATCTTGCGAATATGTTATATACAATCCATCACCAC